TTATAAAACTTTATTTTTATTTCAAATGCAATTCATGTCAAACCAGCACGAGTGGAATTCAACTGAGCATAGCAGGATATGCTCATTCATGCTATTATTAAAGCAGGCATCAGAGTAGAACACACAATAAGCGGTAACACGCTACATGTTCAATAACAATTAACTATGAGAGCATTGTGAAGCATTTGGAGCCATTGAGAAAACATTTATTGAATTAGTCAAATATTACCTGAATTTTCTAACATTTTATATAAATTCAGTATATACATTTTATACTTTATTTCTTATTTTATAACGCAATAAAAATTAAATTTCATTAAAGATCTGTTTTTATAGTTGAACTAGTATACATTTTCTGTAGTTAAAGTGAAATATGTGTATGTTTAAAATTCAGCAAGAAAAAAGAGGAAAATTCTAGTGTAGGAATAAAAACTAAATCCTAGATCTCTACCTGAGCTTGATGAGCCAACTCCAGTGCTTCGTAATAACATCTTGCCTTCTCGATGCAGCTAGTGCCCAGTTTATCCGTAATTTCTTTCAACCTCCTTGTTGTATCCGAAAGAAGTTGTCCAAAAGCAGTGTGAGCTTCCTAAAAATCAATTAAGATCAAATAAATATTGCAAATATTACATACAATGTTAATTTTCAACTTATAAAACAAAATACTATTCCTTACATCCAATTCAGTCTCCAATTTATTAATATTATCTGCTGCGTTGTTCAAGTTCTCCAGCTCAATCTAGAAGACAAAAATTTATCCTATAAAAACACTATATTATACATAATTTATATAAATTAAAATATCTAAAAAAGATTATGTCAGTATGAATTCTTCTGAATTTTTTCAATTGATGGCCATTCTACAATAAGCCATTAGTCATAAATCAGAAGTTAGAAGTTGGAAATTGACGACTGTGATTGATCAATTTCCAGCTTCTAACTTCTGATTTATGATTAATGGTTTATTGTAGAATACGTGTAAAACTTAAATTATGTGTTTTATGTCATAAGCTTTAGAGTTAAAGATCGCTATTTCATTATTGTGATTATTTATTTGTTAGTTGCAATATTCCAGTATTCCGTGAAAAGGAAGATATTATTTCAGATTAAATTATTACCTAAATTAGAAATTAAATTTTTTCACTATAGAAAAGAGAAAATACTTTTCCTTATTAATTTCTCTTTTTCAAATACAATACCACAGGAAAAATGAAACAAAGCAAGAGGTGTCTCGAGAGTATCTTTTCCCAATTGTCTCACATCTACTTAAAATTTAAATTATACATTGCATGCTGTAAAGTTCAGAGAGTTAAAGATTGTTATTTAATTACTGTAATTTTATTTTAATTATAATATACTAGTATGAGAAAAGAAAAAAGAGGTGTACTTCATATCTAAATTTAGTTATTTCATTATAGAAATAGAGAAAAGAATACTTCCAATCATTTATGCTGACATCATTTATTTCTCTTTTTAGATATAATAGTATCAAAATACAAAAAGGAGAGAGAAATTACTTCAAGTTGTGTATATGCCTAAATTTAATTATTTCATTAAAGAAAAGAAAATACTTTTATGCTTATATAATTCATTTCTTTTTTCAGATATAATATCATCAAAATAGAAAAGAAAGAAAAGAGAATATTACTTCACTGGGCATATATCTAAATTTAGATATTTTGTTATGAAGAAGAAAATACTTTTACTCACATTTATATTCATATCATTTATTTCTCTTTTCAGATATAATGCCATCAAAAGAAGGCAAGAAAAAAAAGAAAAGGAAGGTATTATTTCACTTGTAAATTGAAAATTATTTATTTCATTATATATATATATGTTCTTTTTAACTGAATGAACCTTATATAATTCATCTTTTCTCTTTTTCTCTCCAATTAAAAGAAAAAGAAAAATAAATCATCCAAGCAGTTCAACTAAAAAGAACAGATCTACAGAGAATAATTTTATT